TACTATGCATATGTGTAAGCTTCTATTCTTAGGTCTCGTGTGTAGTGTGAGTGCATGTGTGTGCATGCATGCACATGTGTGTGTCTGTGTAAGGTATTCATTTCAACAGAATCTAGAACTCAAAGGGTTGATGATCTATTTTGTCCTATAGGGTTTTTTTTTTCTTTCAATGAATGATTCAGACTCAAAGTGCATATTGGTAACTATATTTTAAACCAAAAATTCCTCACATAATAAATACATTTTATGCACATTAACTTCAAATTTACTTCAGAAAGCTATTTACAATATAAATAATTATAAATGGGAACACCTTTCAAGATATCATTGACATAGCTAATATTTTCTACTTTACATTCCAAAGTAAAAGTTCAAATTACAGCTTTATACTACAATATCACTAAAAACTATACATTGCAAGATGGGATTTGGAATATTGGCAATCAGTATCTTTTCTCACAAATATAATCCTTTTTCTAGCATATCAGTCAAAAAACAAACAAACTATTTTATCTTTTTCGAAGTGCCTACTCATGTTTCATTTTTTGAAATCTTTCCCTTTTGGGAAAAAAAAGTTACAGTACTTCTAAAATTTTTTCCAAGCCAATTCCATTTCTTTCAAAATGTAAACACATCAGGACTGTTAAGTATAAATTTAGCTGTGACTAAATGTGTCCCAAACCAGCAAGTTAGGACAAACTCCTTCCATTTAGGTTTGTGAAAGCAAAGTCAAGTCCCATGCAGCAAAATTGTGATAAATAAAACTACAAATGTTTGATTTAAAATTATCAATTATGATTTCTTGTGTGAACTATCATATACATGAATATATAAAATTTGATATGGCACATTTTATAAATCCCCAAGGTGATATAAAAACCATACTTTGTGTGTGTATTTGTTTGTGTACTTTCTGCATACAGTCTTAAAGAAGGAACTCTGAACAAACACCTATTTGGAAATTTGTAGAATCTCACCTACCCGTACAACCCTTGTGCACAAGAAATGAGCACCACACAAAAATTTTCCCCAAGAACATTTTTCTGTCTGATACCTTTTGCATGTGTCCATAGCTGTTCTGTCACTCATTTTAAGATTCTGAATGATGTTTTATACATGGCATATTTCACAGTAAGAAGAACTAGTCAATAGATTTTGCTTAGATTTAAATCCCCATCACAAAAATTTGACATTTACATGGTTGAATCACATATTTGGAGCACTTACTTCTTTAAGTCAATCATAAAATAAGATGCATGCTTACATCTATGACTTGAGTGAACTAAGGACCAAATCTGATCATTCAAACTTTTTAAATCAGGACTGTATTAAAGTGTCAGCTACTCCAACAAGAAAGGTGAATGATTCCCAAATGGACAAATATTCAATTTTCCAAATATCAGCATTCACCCTGTTACTCCCAACTACATCAGCACTAATAGATTGCATTGAATATCTTAGTAATGTCCTGCTTTTGAGAGAGAGAGAGAGAGAGAGAGAGAGAGAGCTATAAAATACCAAATCTGTATTCAGAATGCCTTTTTAGCTGTACTATCTTCTATTAAACTGATCTAGATCTTGGAAGGAAAAGTCTTTCGTTCTATTTTTTAAATATTTTTATGTATTTTCCAAATGATTTTGTATTAGAACGGATCCTTACCCTCCATTTAAAAAAAAAGAAAGAAAGAGAAATGTACCATATTAACTTTTTCTAGAAGATCCCATTAAAGCTTAATTTAAGTGGGATCCTCTGCCCAGCGCAGCTTGTGGCATCAGGGTAGAGAGTGAATTAAGAACAGTACTCGGTGGAAATATTTTGGCCCTATAAAGTATAATCAGGAAATAATAAGTGGTTTTTTGGTATAAACACTAAAGGCAAATTATTTATTATATCCTGTCTCATTTTGAATGTCACATCAGCACTCCCATATTGCCTTGTATCAGGCAAGTACAGTTTAGAAAAGCTCGTACATTAGACTCAGCAAATTGTGTCAAAAGACTTGTGAAGCAGAAGCACACCTAAAGTTTTGAACTTAATGTTACACATCTAAAAATGACACATCAAATCTGTATGTTCTAATAGTTTTAACAATTTTCCCAAGGAAGATTTGGGAAATATTTGTTTATTTCTTTGGTCATCCAAATGTTTAAATTGGCTAAAGCAGGTGAAATGGGCAATAAAGATGTTCTTACTATTATGAGAAAGAATGAGCTTTGTATTATTTAGTGAATTGGTACTTATTGTAACAGTGTACTTGGATATAACACATTTTTATGAAACCCCCTGGTGATACAAAAAGAGCATACTTTTCTCTATTTCAATCAAACTTCATGGTTTTCAGCATTTTAGCAAAGCTATGGAAATTGAGGATTAAAACTCAAGCCAATTTAAGTTTAATTTTGACTGGTTAAGTTATTGGGAGCACACTTATATTACATTCCTTATTTTTAAAAGATAGCATCTTCTTTGTGAGAAAGTATGTTCCTACACAAAATAAAATAATGCAGATTACACATACACTTTTACACATCTACATGAATAGTAAGAAGTTACCTTGTCATAAAATGTCAACTTATCTGGGGCCATTCTGTAGTAATCACGCCATGTTGGAAAAAATGTAAGCTATATAATACTGAGATCCCATAAGGCATTATGTGTAATGTAATAACACTGCTACTAAAAATTACTGACACTCAGCAAATTAAATAAATGATATGCATTTAAAATTTTTGGTAGATTGACCCAGTTTTAATCAAATATAATTTAGTTACTTCTGTCTTCTTTTAAAAATACTGGTGATAGCATTGTAAGGAGTAGTATTACTCTTGAATAGCCCCATCTGTGGAATTCATAGTTTATTCCTTCTATTAATTATCCTCCATATAAATGTGCCACTGATACTTCTTTAGTGACATTCTTTTCTTTAGGATCAGTTCATTTTCCTTAGTTCTTAGAGGAAGTTTCCATTCCTCTTACAATATCTGTCCCTGACACTTTTGATGGAATATATGTATCCATCAGTAGAACCCATCTGTGTAGATTTCCTTTCCAAAACACATCATATTTGTCAGATATGTGTCTTTGAAACACCTATCCAGCTACATAATTCTACAAGACCTTTAACGTTCCTAAAACCTTACTTCATGTTGCAAATTGGTCAGAATACACTTTAAATATTCCAGGGGCTTCTCACAAACAATTTTCTCAAAATTACTGGATACTTTTTCTTACACAATTCAATTGTACTTTGAAAATTTTTGAAAGTACACATGATAGCTATTGCCTCCCTCACTTTCTTGCTCCTTTTTGCATTTATATTGGCAAATGTTGCTCTGCCATATCTAAGAAATAGCTATTTAATTTTATGTAGCCTCTTCTTTTGTATACAAAAACCCAATATTCAACTCTAAAATTGTCATCATCCAGATTGTCACCAACCTATGGACTGCCAAATAGCTGTATTAAAAAGATGAAAATATAATTCTATCCCTGAGTGTCCAATGTCATGTTTTGTTTTTAAAATTATAAGTCAAGTTCTTTTAATACATTCCCCTCCTTGAATATGGCAATAGTTACAGGCATGGGACTCCTATGACATATTATCTATGAAACTTCTCTAATCACCAATCTCACTTTGCTTTGATTACTAGAAATCAGTGCATTAAATAAATTCTATTTTCTTCCCTCTCATAAATTTCTACCATCTACAGGCTGAATCTAAGAGAAAGTTGACTGACTATATACCTGCCTAAAAAGAGCCACACACCTGCTATAGTTATAAAACATGTAGACCTCTGCATGTGTGCATAAATACCAGAGCAATTCATCTTGACAGTTTATAGCAGAGAGTTAACTACTTCACAAGTTCAATTCTGCTGCACCTATGAACCACAGAGCCATAGCCCTTTCAGATTAGAAAACTGGGGCTTGACCATGGTGAATGATACATCTATGGTAATAAAATTAGGCAGGGTCAGAACTGGAAACCAGAGATCTTGGCATCTAGTCCACTGGTCTTTCTACTATACCATACAGACATAAAAGTGAGTCTGTTGTTTTCATTGTTTATAAGCAACAAAGAAAACAAACATTTTGCTGTTCCCTCCTCTTGCCCTTTGAGCTACTTGTCTATCTGCCTAAGTCTTTATCTTAGACTTGCTCTGGAGGCTTTCCACATGCTTACACAATGGCACATCTGGGCTTTGAAATGTTTTAAAACACTTCCATGCTGTCATGTAGCACTTCACAGGTTTTCCTTAGTTATTTTTGCACTTATCAGCTTTTTTTCTTGGTGAATTTTTCTTGAATTTTTTACTTGGTTGATTTTATAAGCAAGCCCCAAATATGTTGTTTACCTATTCTGAGCCTTAAATTGTTTGTTTTGGTATAATTTCACTCTACTCTGTCTCTTGCCTTTCTCCCTTCACTAAACTACTTTCAGTTGACATGCCACAGTTTTTGACATGTCTCCCAACATCTCAATGCTGCTATTTAGAAAAACCCTTACTTCTATGTCAGTGCAATCCTGGTCCTTGTCTAACTCAAGAGTAAGGTGAAAAATCACCACTTCCTGATTGCTTATAATGGATACCAGGTGAAAATGCATTCTTGCACCATAGCCAGAACCATTTCTCTAATTTATGCCTGAACCAAATGAGATGGCTGGGTTGAAACCACAAAGAAGAAATCAGTTTATAAAATGTATCTCTGTCTTCTTTAGTTATGTGAGGATTGGACATTTCTTTAAGCAGCTTAATGTGGTAAAGGAAAGGTATCCCCTTGGGGATCAGTTATTTATTCTCTATTTCTCCATGTAAAGTGTACAAAGCAGTTTGTGAATAGGGAGTAGTCTATGTGTATAAGTATTATTGAATCATCACAATACAGTGTTGCCATCCATCAGTCCTTTCCTGGCATATTTGCTCACCTGATTTACATGAGTATCTTTCAATCCAAAATGTATCTATTCTGGTTCCCATACAATTGTAGGGGCAATTTAAATATTCACTTTAGCTCCATTATCTGTGTATAACCTTGAAGGCTAGTACTATGTTTTCTTGGATTTCATAGGAACACATGTCAAATACTCAGAAACTTAAATTACCCTCTCTAACAATCAGTGGCATAGTAAATGCTGGTAATGGGACATTAAACTATAAATATGTTTCAGAGACCCTTGAAGAACAAAATATTTTAGAAAAGCATCAGCTTCCATTGGTTATTATAACAGATGTTCCCTTGTGTCCTTGTGCTGGGTCTGGCTGCATCCTTAGATGGGAAGTAACATCGAAGTGTGAGCCATTACAGCCCAAGGAATAGTTTCTAATGGTTTCACTGTCATATAAGTGCTCCAGGGCATATCCAGTTAATGTGTAAGCATGCTTATCAAAACACTGCCGGTGAGAGCCAAAGCAGTTTGGAGAGACAGCAGGATGGTCTCCTGCTGTCTGGTGAGGAGACATATCTGAATGTAGATAGTCTTTAGCTAGAATCAGACTGGATTTTGAAATGCGATCGGAATTGGGACTGCTTATCCGAGACAGTGCAGTAGGACTGTTGTCATAGTCACTGTCACGGGGGCTGAGCATCTTTCCTTCTCTCTGCTGGATGTGGTCACATGGTGAAGTGTTGGCAAGAGCAGAGCCATGGCAGACTTCTCCTGTTGGTGGGGGCTGTTGGTAGTTTGCAAAACAGAGAGAATGTTTTTTCCCAGCTCCATTAATGGAAGTCAGTTGGTCAGGGGGAGCTGTCCTCAGCTGCAATCTGTTTTCTTCTTCTTTAATCATTTGCTGGGTGGCTCTTATCAGAGTTTCAATTTTGCTAGGTTCATGTGGGCTACTTTGATATTGTTCAGTTCGATATCGGTCACCTGACTCACTGGCTGACCCAGGGTCTGGAGAGCTGACCACACTATCTTCATCCCAATGACCTCGCCCTAGAAATCAAAAGAAGTAAAAAGTAAATGGTCTCAAAATTCACACACACATACAAAATTAAGTGTATTTCTTTTTCTATTCATTTTTAACACAAAATTTGAAACAGATAGGTGTGACAGAGTTATCAGTTATTGTACTGGAATGCATATTTACACTGGATTCACGTAAAATTGGTGGATTTTAAGTGGGTAAGTTTCTTAGAAGATAAACCTTGTTCATGGTTGTGAATGCAAGTTAGTGAAATCGTAACATGTTTCTATGTCTCCATCTATGCATTTTATCACTGCCCAGCTGCAAATAAGAAAAGAAAAATGCATAGAATTTGGCTTATGCTTTTTCTAGGGTAGTATCTTTTAGATTGATGCTTACAAAATGCTTTCAGTTGAGTTTGAAGAAGGCAATAAGATAGGCTGAACAATTCTCTTTTTTTATTATTATTATTATTATTATTCATATGTGCATACAAGGCTTGGTTCATTTCTCCCCCCTGCCCCCACCCCCTCCCTTACCACCCACTCCACCCCCTCCCTCTCCCCCCCCAATACCCAGCAGAAACTATTTTGCCCTTATCTCTAATTTTGTTGTAGAGAGA